TTCTAGAAGTTTATCAGTTTTCACGGAATAGCCTATATATTATAACAAAACATATATGTATATAATATTAATAAAATAAATAAAAATAGAAGCTGTTTAAATTTTTTCATCGATTCTGATCTGGACATACGCAACGTACGCACTGCTTGCAGCTGTAAGACATATAACTATTCGCCATGAGTTTGCAGGATTAAGTACACTGATTCTTGAACTCTACCTAAATAGGAGGAGATTTAAGGTGCGATGTATATTTCCGTAACGGTATACATCACATGCGCGACGTGCGTCCAGAACACGCCGGTGGTTCGCATAAACGGATTCCTTATTTCATAGCTGCCTGTACAGACTGTCTTACTTCTCTATGACGATATAACACTCTATGTACAAAATTGCATATTCACAGATATCCGCGCGTCTCAATCGTAGAAACACGGAGAAACACGCTTTCGCACGCTTCGGTCTATCCGCGTACTTCGGCACCACCGTTCGTCACACTGAGGTCTGCGTGATGCCGTTCCCCGACAGCCACAGGCGTCCGTTGCTCTTCTGATCCGTGATCTCGTACTCGGAATCGTCGATTTCGCACAGATTCGTGGAGAGATCGCTGTTGCTGGTTGCGCCACCCAATAGCGAGTTCCTTTCCTCTAGCGTGGTGATGACGGATCCAATCTCGTCCTCTTCGATCACCTTGTGGCATCGGTTACGACGGGTACTCGGAAAACCATAAGGCACTACGTCATCTTCTTCTTCCTCGTCGGACTCGAGGGTGCTAAGACGGCCGTTGAGCGGATTCGTCTCGTTCTCGGTGTCGGTGTGAATATTGTAATGCGGCAGATATGAGTTCGGGTGACGCAGATAGCTCTCAGAGCTCTTGTATTTGTACTCTCCCTCACCGCCGCTATCGAGAGGATTCAGACGGTGCGTCTCCGCGCAATGATATTGCTCCGAAAACTCGGTCCCGCATTCGGAGTCGCCGACATATTCCGATTCTTGGTCTTCGTTTAGCGTCTCAATGTCCCTCGTTGGATCTATTGGACCATGCACTATAACAGAATTGCAAATGTTACATATATTTCTATATATTTCCATATTATATATTGTTCACGAAAGTTTTACAAATTGCCGTAATTAATGTTGTTAGCGAAATAACAAATTAATATGTATGACATTATGATATTATATCACATTTCTCGTCATGCATAAATATTAACGTGATTAATTATGGTACTAATTCGTTAGTCCCTATTATTATAAATTCATTATTATATTATTACATTACAATGTTAAGACGGCATTAAATACACCACTTTAGGTTCTATAATTTTTATTATAGGATGCGTGTCAATCAAACTACTAAATTTTTGTGACAATCTAACAAGTTTGCTATCAAACTCAATACTTATGACGTTACTAAAATTAAAGCTGTCAAACATCAATATTACACTAATCATGCTAATGCAGGAAGAGGACAATAAATCAATGGGCATTCACAGATATCCGCGTCGCAATTGTAGGAGCACGCTCTCGCACAGTCTATCCACTTCGGTTTATCCGCGTACTTCGGCACCATCATGTACTTACTCAATGGTAGTTGATGAGTATTAGACTCATTACTCTCATTGCTATGGAAACTGGACGAGTCTGGGACCTCGCTGCCGGGTACCTCCGTGATGTTGGGCAAGGGATTCTGACTCGGCCTAACCCAGTCTGAGCAGTCCCAGTGATACCCTAAAAGCATTGCAGACAACGACTGTACTCCGACACGCTACATGCGATGCGGCATAGTGTTGTGCGGTGAAGTAAAAGGTAGAGATAGTGCGAGGGCAAATAATAGCACTCGATTGAGATAGTACAAGCGAAAAAGCGAAGACCCAAAGTATACGGAGTATCCTAAGATCGCACTTTGGCTACAGCAGCTTCTGGTGAATTTGTAAAGTTTTATTAAATAGCCGTCGATGATGTATTTTTAAATTTTCTACACTTTACTGTGTTACGTCTGCAAGATCTAATGCTTATATTAAAACATCTTTAATTTTTAAGAGACGATATACGATTCGAAGGATACTCTCTATCTCGAGCCATACGAGCGGGCTGTCTCGACTTACCGCCGACGATGCGAGGATCATCCTCGATGGACGTGACGGAGGTGATGGAAGATCCAACCGCATGAGGCGTCCGTCGAGAAGAGTTTAGTAGAAGTCCTCCAGTGGTCAGCTCTGGTACCACTGGGCTCGCTCGTTTCAAGTCTGTTAGTGCACACAACACGAAACACGCTGGTGTTAATAGAATAATCGGCTACGCCAATGATAGAAAGGTCGCAATGAGAGAGAAAAGACAGAAAAAGAGCGAGAAAAATTAAGGTTTTCGTCGAGGAGAGATAAGAACGAGGAAGAGCCTAGTGCTCCACCCCTTACGATTGCATGCCACAAGCGAAATCAAAAGTAAGAAGCTACCGGACGGAGCCAAGAGGGTAATTCCTCTTTCATTCATGATGCGGTCGTGGACCACTCACCATTCTTGATTTTAGTAGTGTCGGTTATGAAGGAGGCTAGCTGCATCTGCTCCTGCCAGGTGGGCTTGTGTAGACTGTCCGTGTCGCTGCCAGTTGCATTCCCGCCGACCGGGTTAGCAAGGGTCAGGGACGGGGGTGGTATGGGAGTGCTGCGATTCAAATTCCGTAGATAATCAGGCGGAAAGTTCTCTAGTTCATCGCCCGCGCTACCGTAGCTGCGCAAGGTGTCCAAGTTATTTAGAGCCACCGCTGCCGAGTTACCATACGTGGCAGGCTCGTTGTTCGAGCTTGGAGTGTAGGAGGCGGGTCTGGGAGGACATTGGGGAGGTTCTCTCTGTAAAAAGAAGAATTACACGTAGACCTTAAATGGGATCGACGTCGCGAAGAGGGGAAATGTATCACGCGGGCAAACCAAACGATTGCAAATGATAAATAAAACAGCGTTAATGTCGATTACTAAATAGCGATTATATACCACAAGGAAGAACTGAAGGCATTATATCATAATCATGAGTTATTAAATTAAATCTCTTGAAGTTTCTCATCGTGTAGATATTAAAATAATGCCTTCAAATAAGTGCACATAGTACGTCTGAAAAGTTTCCAGACAAACATTCTAAAAAATCAACGAATTCAGATATTACTTTCTCATATTATGCTTCTACGTAGTTCTCTCCCTTCTTAACACATGCAATTGAAGGCGGTACAATGAATAGAAACTTCTCTTCCGAAACCTCTTTTATCTGATGCCGTTACATATCTTGGATCACTGGTACATTGTCAAAAAATTCTCCTTTTAGACGCAATTGTCTCATAACTTTTGGTCAAACGAAGACATAGTGAATCACTTAGTGATCCACTACTCTTCGCATTTACCTGACTTGGCCCTAGTAGACTTTTCTTTTATTTCCTAAAATTGCGCCTAAAAAGAAAGTGTTTCAACGATGTACCAGTGATCTAAAATCATGAAATGCGTCAACTATTAAAGGCGATTCCGGAAAAGGAGCATTATAATAGTTTCCAATCATTATATAGTCGTTCTATTGCGTGTCAAGAGAGAAAAGAATTACGAAAAAGTCTACTATAAATAAAAACTGATATTTAAATTCGTTGATTCTTTTTTTAGAATTTTTGTCTGAATGTTTCAGATATACGTTGGAGAGCTCATGCTTTTATAATACGTCTGATAATGAGAATAGTTAATCTAAACGTAACAATAATGGTACCTGTATGACTTCCAGATTGCTCAGTTTTGAACTGCGCTTGAACTCGTGCTCATTTGGCCTCGCAGAATTCAAGACCATCTGCTTCCGTGTCTCATTGTTAATGTTGTTGGCACGCGTTCTAGTTCTCTTCGTCCGCATCCGCCAGAAAGCGACGAATATGACGATGAGCAGGATGTTGAGCAGCACCGCGATGCCAATCCACATGAGATACTCCCATGGAATGTTTAAGTGGCTGGATATGATGGGCGTAGAGAAAGCCGGGTTGCCGCAGTTCAAGCCGGTCATATTCGGTGGACAGATGCATCTGTACGTGCCGATCTCGTTCACGCAGGTGCCGCCATTCGTGCACGGACTTGCGTCGCATTCATTTACATCGGTCTCACAGCGATCGCCTGTGAAGCCCTGGCACTTGCAGATCGGACCGTTGTTTCCCTCCTCGCACACGCCGCCGTGACTGCACGGATTCGGGCTGCAGTATCTACCAAATTCGCAACGTTTGCCACTCAGACTCGGCCCGACGCACTCGCAGACGTAATCACCGCTTTCCGGCACGATCTTGCAACGGCCGCCGTAGAGACAGGGCGATGAGGCGCACGGATCCGTATCGATCTCGCAAGCTAAACCAGCGAACCGGGTGTGACATTGACACTCATAATTGTCGCTGCCCATGTCTTTGCAAGTACCACCATTCTGGCACGGCTGTGAACCGCAGACACCCGGCGGTACCAGAATGGTCGCTGTGTCGCAGCTAAACTCAACATTGGCGAATCGCTTGAGGATCGCCACGCTGCTAGCACCGCTCATGTGCAATGGCACAGATACCCGAGCGATCCTAACGTCGTCCATACAGCCAACGAAACCACGCTGCACGTCTTCGAAGCCGATAATCGATGGATGTTGCCTCACTTCAGCGCCTAAATATAAATCGTCCGACTGCAGATTCAGAATATCATTAATACCAGGCGCCGAACCATGAGCAATGTGTTTTCCATCTACAGTCAGTCGGGCACTGTTGCTTTCTCGCTCCAGCTGAATCTCGTGCCATTGTCCATCACTCACGTACACACTGCTCACTCTAACTAATCCCTCGCCGCTGCCCAGATCGAATTTGTATTGCATCACGCCATTAACGATCTCCAGAATATTATAGTCCACTTTGCCGGCCGCGTACATGAGGTTGCCAGTAGGCTGCATCGTTCTGATCCTCAAGGATAAGCTAAGGCGATCTTCGATCGTTTGTCGTATTAGCGCTTTGTCGATCTTATAGCGCGCATAACTCTTGCCGCTGAAAGATATGGGATTTCGCGGAATGTAACACGACTCATCGTGGCACTTGGAAATATCTATGTCGCAGGTCTGACCGGCATATCCTTCAGGACACTGGCATGAGTACCCTTGAATGGAGGAGTCTGGCACGCAAACTTTGAAAAGAGGACAGGGGTCCCTGGCACACTCGTTGACTACCACTTCACAGTGATTGCCGGCATATCCTTCCTTGCAATTACATTCCATTTTATGTTTGTGTCGCGGTGACACGAAGCTCATCACGTCAGTGGACACGGGCGTTATTTGCGTAGGATCGAGAGTGATCTTGTCTTGGCAGTCACCGTAAAAACAGTAACCTTTATTGCACTTGAACCGAACGATCTCTTCGACGACTAACTTCGTCGACTCCTCCAGTTCCTCCACGTGTTGGTTCAATGCCTCGCGTATGCTCTCTGACGCATAGAAACCTGATGAACCCGCGGAACTGGCCGCTTTCTTCACAGCAAATAGAAGATCGAGATCATTGTGTACCGCTTGGCGAATCGCCCGCGACTTGATTAAGTTCGCCTCATCAGTTGACGGCTGCACGCTGATAATGACGATATCCTTAAGACGGCAATTCATCGCGTTGCGAACAGTTCTGACGAAACCCTTGCGATGACTCAGCATAAAATCCTCTGGGCTGACTTCTCGAAATCTCACGATTACCGAACTCTCGAGCATTTTGTCGGTCACTAGATCGACGTTAACTTTTACGACAGAGTACGAGTGGAACTTTCCATCCGTCACGCTAATGTTTATTCTGTACTCGCCTACGTCAAGTCTGGGCAGGGCCACTAATGTACCATCAATCTTATCTATCTGGAAGAGATCGGTGGTGCTTGGAATTGGCGAGGATGGTATCAAACTGAAAAGAAGCGTATCGTACTGATCTTGATCGGTTGCGTGGACTTTTCCAATAATACCACCGGAATACTCATCCATATAAGAATTGATAATCACTTCGAGAGGCGTGATTACTGGTGGATATTGCGATTCCTCGATCACCTTGATTACAACCCACGCGTCCGAGTACAATGGGGGACTGCCGTTATCGAACACCCGAACATGTAGCACATATTTATCTTTTACTCTGTTGTTAAACTTCGTCGCTGTTCGCAGAGTACCGTCCTGCTCTAGCCGAAACGCATCGCCCTCATTACCGGAACGAAAATCAAAGGTGTACGGGTCAGCATTCGGTTCAATGTCCGCGTCTGTGACTACAAATTGTAAAACCGTATGACCGAGCGGTTTGTCTTCCTGTACAACAGCTGTGTAATTTGGCAAAGAAAATAACGGTGGATTATCGTTCGCATCCAGAACTTCGATGTTCACCATCACGAAGCTCGAGAGCATCGGTATACCATTATCACGTGCATGAACTTCTAACACATAGCTTGCAATCTAAAAGAAAAAAATGAAATGTTTATTGTAGTATTTCGTTTATATTTGTATCTGTTATGTGTATTGTATTTGATACTAACTTCTTCTCGGTCCAATGGCGCGGTGACAGCTATCTGTCCAGTTTTTCTGTCAATGGAGAATTGCTTCTGTCTGTCGCCACGTTCTATATAATACGACACATTGCCATTCTCCTCGCTATCTAAATCGTTCGCGTAAACCTAAAACATCAATGAAATAAAATATTTTAACGAGACAAATAGTTTCGCATTACGTAAAATGGATTTTCTGTTAACAATTATTTATGATTTTGTGTATCTATTTATCATTTTGTATATATATAATATATGTTATATAATATAAATATTCTTATAGCATTCTTTAGTTAAAGTCATTGTAATATAGTTATAAACGAAATGAAAAGAAATTGAGTTCAATTCTTGAATTCTTGTTCTATATATAAGAATTTTTTGTGAAAAAATATTATTCCACTATAATAAGAACTAAAAATAAATCCTAATCCAAGGATAATTAAATAATAGACCGCAGTATTAGGTCTGTTTTTTTTTAGCTAAAGTTCTTGCATGGTTCATCTTTCTCCCTTTTCTCTTCACGATGTAGAGAAAAAGAGAAAAGATGAATCATGTAAGAAGTTTAGCTAAAAAGAATAGCTATTGTATCTTTGAAAAACATTATGATAGAAGTGCAAATAATAACTGAATAAAACTCACTTGCGTAACTTTTTCTCCCGTTTTTGCATCTTCTCTCACAAAGGCTCTGTATGAAACTTCGCTGAAAATTGGCGCGTTATCATTGCTATCGGTGACGGTGATATTGACAGTAGCGTGATTGCTCAGCGGCGGAATGCCTCCGTCAATAGCTTGAATAGTGAGGAAGTAATCGCGAGCCCGTTCATAGTCCAGCTGTTCGGCGATGGTTAAAACGCCCGTCTTGGCGTCTATTTGGAATTTCTTATGCTCATTGCCACCGACAATCGAGTAATATATATCAGCGTTCACTCCTGTATCCTTTGAGGTGGCGAGCACTCGTGCCACTTCGGTACCAACTGCGTATATCTCAGGTACCTTCGCGAAGTAGAGTTTAGAAGCGAATTCCGGCGGATTATCATTGATGTCCTGCACGTTAACGATAAGAGATGCGACCCCCATTAGCTGAGGAGTGCCCTGATCAAGCGCCTGAATAGTAACATTATACATGGCCTTCGTTTCTCTATCCAATGGCTTAGCCAACGTGACTATTCCACTGTCAGCTGCGATGAGAAAGTGACCATCCGCTGAATCAATAAATTCATATCGGATCTTCCGATTGATACCGATATCGTCGTCCGTAGCGTGTACCTTCGTTACTAACGTGCCGATTTCCACGTCTTCGGGCAAAGTGCTGCTGTAAGTTGACATAGTGAATTTCGGCGCGTTGTCATTGAGATCGGAAACGAGAATCTCCAATTGCGATGAACACTCCCAAGTAGGTTTATCTCGATCCTGCACGTGGGCTGTCAAGGAATACTTGGCTTGAGTCTCTCGATCAAGTTGCCCGACGGTTTTCAACACGCCGGTTTCCTTATCTAACGAAAATTTGTCGTTATTGTCACCGGTTAAATAAAATCGCAGTTTAGCATTCGGCTCGTCGTCGTAATCGGTGGCCAATACAGTCAAGACATAGGCACCAGGATGCGAGCCCTCGGAAAGTATCTCTCTGTAACGGTATCTGAGGCAATACGGTGGATTATCGTTGACATCCAGGATTTGCACCGTCACTTTTGTTTCAAAAACATATTTTCCATCTGTACCAACGATTTGGAGCTCGTAACGATCAATAGTCTCTCTGTCCAAGGATTTTGCCACATACACTTCGCCAGTAGACCTGATTTGAAATTGCGATCTAGAATCGCCTGACGTTATATAAAATTCTATCGGTGTGTTGACATCTGTGTCTTTGTCGACGGTGATCAGTTTTACCACAACCGTTCCTGGTAAAGCGTCTTCGTTCACCGTAGCCTCATAACGATCGTCAACGAATGCGGGCGCATTATCGTTATAATCTTTTAACTTGACGTGTACTGATGTCCTCGCGAAGTGTTTCGGATTTCCATTGTCAGTAGCAACCACCTGAAAAAAAAAAGGAATTATTATATACATATTCTACTTTTATACATTTGGAATATTTATGTATTTATGTTACCTGAAACTTATATTCCGGCTGCTTTTCCTTGTCGAGTTGTACCAATGTTGATATCCAACCGGTATAAGCGTCCACTGTAAAAACGTTCGCTAATTCTCCTATGTCAGATCCAAAGGAGTAACGCACCTCGCCGTTGCTACCGAGATCTTTATCATGCGCAATAACTTTGAGTATCGATGTCCCCTCTTCGATGTTTTCGGCCAAACTAATCGCATAGGGATTGCTTTCGAATTTTGGCGCGTGATCATTCTCATCCAGTACCTGAAGAGTGATCTCAGCGAGAGCTGTGAGCGGCGGACTAGAATCCGTTTCAGCGAGAACCCCGATTAAATGACTGTCTTTCAATTCTCGATCCAATGGTCTTGTTAGAGTAATCTGGCCATGAGAGTCAATCGTAAAGAACGGGTTATCTTCATCGCCGGATACTATACGATATGTTACAGTGCTGTTTGTGACGGTCTTGAGTTTCGTGATCGGCGTGCCGACGGAAGAGTCCTCTCTTACAAAGAATTTATCTTCTTTTCGCTCGAATAAAGGCGGGACATCGTGGGAACCCATTATATAGATACTTAGCGGTACATCGGCATGATGCGTAGTCAAACCTTTGTCCTCCGCACGAATAAAGAATTCGAACAATTGGTTTTCTAAAAGTATAACAAATATTTATTTGTCACATAAAATCTCTTAACAAGAGACGGATCGTATTGATCCCATTTATTTTGCTCATATAAAGATCAAATAAATATATATCTTACCCCACGGCATAGCGCTCTTTTGCAGATAAAGAGATCCTGTATCGGGATTTATACCAAATAGAGATCTAGCTGATGACGTTTGCGGTTCGTAGATGGAATAAACGATCTTGGCTGCCTCATCCTCATCCGCGTCTTGTGCCCTGATTTTTAGGAAGGGTGTATTCAGTGACAGATTGCCCTGAATGGTAGCTTTGTATTCTCTAAGTAGGAATACCGGCGCATTATCGTTTTCATCGCCGATCTTAACTCGCACCATCACGAATCCGGATCTACCGCCGCCGTCCGTCGCCATAACTGATATTTCATAGCGCTTCTGTTCCTCCCGATCGAGCTTCTTACGTGTTACTATCTCGCCGGTGAGCTTGTTTATCTCAAATATCTCCTTCATCATCTCCGACATTATCGCGTATGTCACCGTACCATACTCGCCGAAGTCTTCGTCTACCGCCAGCACGCTGGTGACCAGTCTACCAGGCAGTTGGTTCTCCAGGACGGTTACCTCGACTATCGGGTTCGGGAATTTCGGATTGTGCCTGTTCGCGGGCAGGATCTCGATCTTGACGCGGGTGAAGCTGGTGTAGACGCCGTCGGTGACGGATACGTTAAGCATGCTGAGTTTTTGCTCGCCAAAGTTCTGCATATTTATCAGCGAGATGATGCCGGTCGACTGGTCAATATTGTACGTCTGCTGTTCGTTCCCACCTACGATGGTGTACGTCAGCTTCTCATCGACGTAGTCGGGATCGCTGGCTGTGACCACTGTCACGAATTGACCACGTTCGGCATGCTCCGATAGGAAACAGGTGTATGAGGGCTGCTCGAACTTGGGCGGGTTGTCGTTCATATCGATCACGCTCATCCAGACGTGCGCCGTACTCGACAGACTCGGCACGCCGCGGTCCATGGCAATCACGGTGAAGTGATGGGATTCGTGACTCTCATGATCTAAAGATCGCTTGAGAAATATCACACCCTCATCAGGATCGATGTGGAAGAGATCCGTACTGTCCTCGGTGTCATTTTGAATAGCGTAACGAACTTGTTGATTAATGCCTGTGCAAAAATAAATATGTATGTGATAAAAAAGATCAAGTTTTTTTCCAAATTTCATCCATTACGTGTAAAACCGAAGGAGATATTATAATCCAATTTTCAATACGAAGTTTAAATTTGTTTTACGCTTACCTGTGTCATTGTCTCTGGAGCTCACTCGCAGGACAGGGGTCCCAAACACCGCCGCCTCCGACACCGAGATGTTGTAGGAATCCTGCGTGAATTCGGGCGGGCAATCGTTCACGTCCAGGACGAGGATGCTGACGAGTACCTCTGCGTAAACGCCCGATACACTGTCGGTTGCGCGCACGGTCAGCTCGTACTGCTTCTTTTGCTCATAATCCAGTTCATCCACCACATAGATTACACCTGATTTATATGAAGAGAAGAGATTGTAGAGACCCAAAGCACATACAATGCAGCGGTGGTATGTCTACGTATCCGTCAAAAGAGCGTGTTCTTAGAGCGGTTGAAAGCGAGTGCGTATGAGAAATTAATGTACTCTATTTAGAAATGATAATGTGAAATCAAAAGGCTCCAAAATTTAACAATAAAAACTTCAGGAAAATTCAAGGGTGTTTAATGTGATAATAATAATAATTCGTATATTAAAAATATAATATTTTTAAAGACGTTTTGACTCTATTTAGCTTTTGTATCATCGCCATTTCGATTTTTTAAATTAGCGGTGAATTCAGAATTGTGAAGATATACGTATATTTTTGCGATTTTAATTCGACGGATCTGTAGACACTAGAAGTCGCGAATGAATGCAGTCATGTGGTAAACACATAAAACGTGTCCGGATTTCATGCGAACGATTCGCTAATGTCTGTGATAATGCCTGCGTCTCTTGAGAAGTAAATATCGAAATTTCACACATTGCGAATATATTGCTTTGATCGCGACTCTTATTAAATTAATTTCGAAATAATCTGGAAAATGGAATAAATTCTGATTTGTCTTGCGTAAGGTGCAGGCATGACATGCGAGCAGATTGAAGCTATTGAAATCTCGTGAAGAAAATGAAAATGAGTGGGTCGCACGTTCACATCCAGGCGAAATATTTATGATGTGTCTAGACTGGCCTCAAATCATGGAACGATAGTGCGTGTAAGCAGCTATTGTGCTCCAAGCCGATTTCATGTAATTCTATCGCGATTACAATTTAATGAGACCCGCCCAGATTACGATCGCGGAAAAACAGGGAGAGCGGGAATAAAATTAATTTTGCAAATGGTGCACGCGACTAAAGCGGTTTATAGATGAAAGAAAGAGTCTCCCTCCCTCTCCAAAGCAGATATTATAATCTTTTTAAATTAGAAAAGCTCGGGAAACCTCCATCTTTATAAGGTTAGCCTTCGACGAGTACGTGCAACAAGCTTACGCCATAAGCTAGCAAACATCAATAACTCGGAATGTTTATTGTTATTTTTACTGTAGCATGATATCGTGCGATTATATAAAGTGCAATTTAATAAAGTGTTACGGGCAATAAAATGGGAATGGAATAAAAATTAATTGGTAGAAATCAGGGTACGTGAAAAAATATACATATATGAGTCTAAACGTGCCATATGTATGATTTGGAAAATATGAAGTGCATCCTATGAAAATTTTATAAAGATATTGACGAATTTTGTTGTAGAACAGTAAATATGCATGGTTTCTGAAGTGATAAATGTAACCGAAAAAAAATGGAATGTTCCTTTATAAAAATAAAAAGTTCAAATAAGAGATTTTTATTTCATATTTTCCACTTAACTTTTCATAAAGATTATTTTATTCTTAGTATCATTTCAGAAATACAATGTATAAATATATATTAATATTACTATGCAAGAGAGAATAGATAGTACGTGTCGCCGTGTTGTCATGGTAATTGCATAAGATAATTGAATAATTTGCATCGATCAAAATGTTAATTGGAAATTCAATCAAGCGCTGCAGCAATTGATAAGCATATACATATTTTAAACTATTAATTACATTCTCCACTGAAGATTGAAGATTAAAACTGCAATTTCATATTGAGTATAACAGCAATTAATTGTTTAAATGTGATTCTAGAAATAACTGACATCGTTCTTTGAAAGTTTATATAAAGATATTTCCGGAGTAGAATCACACAGGTATATAAAGATATCTTTGAATTAAGAACAAGCAAGAAATTCAAATCTGGAAGTTCTACATGCTATCGAGTCGGAATACAAGCCGCTCCCGATTTAGTTATTGACTCTCAGATTTAGCCAAATTCAATTTCGTTGCTCGCGCATTGTTTCAATCTGTTCGACCCAACTGCAGCGATTTGCCTGTATATTATATCGTGCATGAACACAGAGCGGTGTATAATATAGCATAGCAACACAGCATAGACCGATAGAACTAGAATCTTTTTTATACTCACAAGGACCATTGTTACTGTCAGGGGCTGCGAAACAGGGAGATACAACAAGACTTTAATTTCTAGTTTCCAGACACAAGCAGTTGTAAGAAATACATATGGAACAAGTATCATAATCCGTATACAATATAACAATCTATGAAAAATAACCGTAAATACAAACAACTACTAAAAGTACATACGTAAATGAAAAATTAGATTTATTGGAAAGATTCAAATATAATTAAAAAAAAAAAAAAATAT